CAGATCTTGTATTTCTCACAAAAATTACTTCACGGTTGTAAATATCTTTAACAGATCAAATTTCAATATTATTTTATATTACATTAAAAATCACTAGTCATTGACAAATTAGGATCCAGAATAGCTAATACTGCGCCATTCAAATGTAATGATCCCGTTACAAGTACCTCTACTTTATCGTGACTATCCATTTGCGACACATGTTTCTTAATGTCATAGAGCACTTCGGCAACGGTATTTTTCGACACAGAGTTATCACCCCACAACGCACAGTGTTTTTTACATTTCCTTCTTTGCTCATCAAGTAGCATATAATTTGATAAATCCTCCACGCTAATTACTCCAGTATAATTTGGAGCAAAATAAACTCTATCAAAATTCAAAGGTTTCAGCAATTTTAATAATTCCAAAGAATTTCGATCACCGCTGATATTAAATATTAGGAATTTACTAGAGGTTCCCCGACTGATTCTTTTGAACCATGATATACAGTTAATGATACTCTCGATTGTATGAGCTCCATCCAGAAAAAAATCTGCTACACTGGTCCTTAGAATCTGCATGCGAGCTGGCCATTTGCAGTTCATCAATGCAGTCGCAACTTTATTTGGAGAAATAATTTGTGATAAATCATTCTTTTCGCTTTGGAGATTGTAAAAATCATTGGTGTATTTATTGTTTATAATAGATTGATCGTAATGTGATTTCATCCATTCATGTGCTATGCTGATCGATAACAAAGCATTCTGTTGCTGCACGCTTTTAATATCAATGCCTGCCAACGAGAAAATATCATTCCATTTACAACCTTCGGTCGTAGAAACTATTCGCAAATCACGGCATTTTCTTTCTATGGCTCGTTTTTGTAGAATGTGCATCGCCGATTCTGGTTGCGGCACCGTGAAAGCTATCGTATGCGGTTTGAAGATTCCTGACTTCTGATAAGCAATCTCTTCTAGAGTGTTGCCTAATAGTGAGGTATGTTCTAGACCAAGGCTCGTTATACCCACACAAATCGGATTCTGCAGAATATTGGTACAATCCAGTTCGCCACCGATTCCAACTTCAATGATCGCTACGTCAACATTTGCTTCCAGGAACACATGGAATGTGAGAATCGTTAGGAACTTGAAGTACGTTGGCATGTCAGACTCATATTCCCGTTTTTGTTCTAGGCGTTGATATACATTCCAAAAGAAATGAGTAAAATGTGCTTGACTGATAGGTTCTCCATTTAACCGAATGCGTTCCCGCACGGACACTAAGTGCGGCGAGCTGAAGAAGCCTGTACTAAAGCCATGCTGTCGCAGAATCGCCTCCGTAAACGCACATGTCGAACCTTTACCCTTGGTACCAGCCACATGGATAACAGACAAACTATTCAATTGCTCGAAAGTAATACCAGATCTGTAATAATGGACTTGAAATTAATAGATATGAAATTATCAAAAAGCAAACTTTAATTCAAAATTTACATTTAATGTATGTTTTTTAAGCAGTTCTTAAGAACAAGAACATGAAGATTTAACTTCATTATTGGAGTAAATATTCATTGAAGTATAAATAAAAACAATCTACTTAAATTTTAATTTTAATTTTTAATGTTAAAGTACTGATAACTTCTTTACCTGAGTAAATATTTTTCTACTTCCTTCAATTTCGTAGAATCATTTGTATTCTTAACAGATTGTAAATAAGTAGTATTGCTTTGTAAAGTAAGACTTAATGCTTTTATGGCTTCCTAAAATAATATATACTTATTCTATTTATAAATAAACTTTTCATTTATATGTATTAATCTGTTCTTTCTTTGAAGAAAAAAATGCAAGTCACTAAATAATCATAATACTTCTCTACAATTATACAGAACACAAATAAGCTCGAGTTATATTAATTTTTAAAAAGTGACGTAAATAAAAATTAAAAAAAAATAATCAAATTAAATGTTAGAAAGTAATTATAATAAAATTAAATAATGTAATTATATATATATA